AGGTGGCCCTGCCCATGGCAGGGGTTGGAACTCAATGATCTTTAAGGTCCCTTCCATCCCAAACCAGTCTGTGATTCCACGATGCTAAATTACAGCTCCTGCAGTCACATTCCCCCCTTCTGCACCCAAACCCCATTCAGACATCGCTTCAACCCACACCAAAGCAAGCCAGTGACCTACCAGTCTGCCTTTTTCAAGCAGTCTACGCTCGCACCTCTCTCCAGGAGGTAGGAGACACACTCCCCGTGGCTCATGGAAGCTGCTTCGTGGAGGGGTCTTTTGTAGTCGCTATTGAACACCTCAACGTCCATCCCCAGCGCCTCTACCAGGTGGGCGAGGACGTCCCGGTGCCCGTATCGGGCAGCATGATGCAGCAGCGTGTCTCCCAAGCGCCCATAGCGTTGGTTCCGTATCACTGGGTCCGGCTCATTGTCTGGCTGCAGCTCGTCCCGGAGGAGGTCCAGCCGTCCCTCCTGCACCAGCCGAAGGAGCAGCTTCGGCCTCTCCCCCTCCACCATGCCTAAAGCTGGAAGAAAGAGGCAAAAATCAGGATTACAGTTTCCAATTGTGTAAATACAATGGCTGCTCCCCGAGTCGGGATAAACAGACGTTACCTTTTCCCTCAGGAAAAACAGAACCCAGCCTCTACCTCCAGAAAAACAGAAATTTCCTTTTCCCTCAGCGAATCTACAAACCAGCCTCTTCCTCAGGACAACCAGGAATTTCCTTCTCCCTCAGGATCACTAGAAATTTCCTTTTCCCCTCCAGAAAACCAGAAACCAGCCTTCAGGAAAGACAGACATTTCCTCTCCCCTCAGGAAATCCAGGAACCAGCATCTCCCTCAGTAAAACCAGAAATTTTCTTTTCCCTTGGGAAAACTAGGTACTGGTCTCTCCCTCCAGAAAACAAGAAATTTCCTTTCCTTTTGGAAAACCAGGATCTGATCTCTCCCTCATAGAAAACAGAAATACCCTTTCCTCTCAGGAAAACAAGAAATTTACTTTTCCCTTGAGGAATCCAGGAACCAGACACTCCCTCCAGAAAACCAGAAATTTCCTTTTCCATCAGGAAAACCAGAAAACAAGCTCTCCCTCAGGAAAAACAGAACTTCTTTTTCCCCTCTAGAAAACCAGAAATTTCCTTTTCACTCAGGAAAACTAGAAACTGCCATCGCACTCAGGAACACCAGACATTTCCTTTTCCCTTAGAAAATCCAGAAAATTACTTCTCCTTCCGTAAAACTAGAAGTTTCCCTCAGGAATGTTGAATGCCAGAAACTGGCCTCTCCCTCAGAAAATGTCATTTTCATAGAACAGTTTTAGTTGGAAGGGACCTTTAAAGGTCATCTAGAGGTCATCTAGTTCAGCAGCCCCCCTTCCTTTTTTTTTTTTTCTTTTCATTTAATTTATACTTATTATGGGGATGTAAAAAAATACTGAGAATGTGAGGGTGTATGTTACATCTACTGCTTGTAGCTGAACTGTCCCCCCAGCCCCTTTTATCAGTCAGAGCAGACGTAGGAGCTACTTTCAAACTAACTGAGCAGCGATACAAAACATCTTATTTTTGAGCAGTAAAGCACACAACTGTTCTAAGCCACCAGTAAGAGCAACCCATCTTTTCATCCCCACGCAAGTCAGAAGAGTTGACAAAAGAAAGGTTTTTGAACCCAGCTTTACGCTTTAAATATGATCAAGGAGTGATAGAAAAGAAGATGGTTGTTTCTCAGAGTGGGATACAGAAGAAAAATTGTTTGCAGTGTCACTGAGGTTATCGCTCTGGACCATGTGAGAGCTCAGGCTGGGCTATTTTTACTGTCAAGAACCCAGAGAGCTGCTCAACCAGCTTTCCACGGGACAGTTCTCCCTGTAAGTGCCACCACAAGGAGCTGTGCCTAGTGACACGCTCTAAGAACGTCATTTTGCTTTTTGAGCAGCTTCATGAAAAGCAGCAAAATAAAGCAGCAGAATACGCAGTATAGCATGCACAGATCCTCCTCCAACTCTAAAATAATTAGCTGGACTTCTGAATTACTAAGTCATTACCTTGGATAACAAAATCTGAACGATATCAGGCATTGCCGTTTCATTCACAGCATGTATCTGAAGGAAACTTGCTTCATTTTTACACTTCATTCTTACAAACCTTTTAAAAACCAGACATTTCCTTTTCCATCAGAAACCAGACCCTTTCTCCAGAAATTCAGAAACTCCCTTTTCCTCAGGAGCAAAAAAAAAAAAACCAAAAAACAACCAGACACTCCCTCAGCAAATTCAGAAATTTCCTTTTCCCTCAGGAAAACCAGACAATTCATTTTCCTTCAGGAAAACCAGGAACAGACCTCTTCCTCCAGAAAACCAGGAACTTCCTTTTCCTCTTGGGAATTATCAGAAACCAGTCCCTCCTTCAGGAAAGGAAGAAATTTCCTTTCCTCTTAGGAAAACAAGAAACGAGACACTCCCTCAGGAAAAACAAAATTTTCCTTTTCCATCTGGAAAATCAGGAACTGGTCTCTCCATCAATAAAAGCAGAAATGTCACTTTCCCTCATGAAAACTAGGAACTACTCTCTCCTTCAGGAAAAACAAAAGGTCCCTTTCCCCTTAGGAAAAACATAAAATTCCTTTTCCTCTTAGGAAAACCAGAAACTCCCTCAGGAAATCCAGAAATTTCCCTTTCCCTCATGAAAACTTCAAATTTTCCTTTTTCCTCCTGAAAACTAGTGATTTCATTTTCCCCTCAGGAAAACCAGAAACTACCATTTTTATTTTCCAGGAAACACAAGAAATTCTCTTTTCCCTTAGTAAATTCAGAAAATTACCTCTCCTCCAGTAAACCCACAAATTTCCATTTCTCTCTGGAAAAATCAGAACCTGACTTCTCCCTCAGGAAAAACAGAAGTTTCCTTTTGCCTCATGAAAACCAGGAACCAGCCTCTCCCTCAAGAAACCCAGACATCCCCGTTTCCGTCCAGAAATTTCCTTCTTTCTCAGGAAAACCAGATACTCCCTTTTCCCTTAGGAACACCAGAAACTGGTTGCTCCCTCAGGAAAAACAGACATTCCCTTTTCCCTCAGGAATACCAGGAACTGGCCTCTTCCTCAGGAAAACCAGGAATTCCTTTTTTTCCATCAAGATCACCAGAAATTCCCTTTTCCCTCAGGAAAACTGGAAGCCTCTTTTTGCCTCAGGAAAACCAGAAATTCCCTTCTCCCTCAGGAAAACCAGAAGTTCCCTTTTCTCTCAGGATCACCAGGAACCAGCCTCTCCCTGAGGAAAACCAGAAATTCCCTTTCCCCTCAGGAAAACCAGAAGTTCCCTTTTCTCTCAGGATCACCAGGAACCAGCCTCTCCCTGAGGAAAATCAGAAATTCCCTTTTCCCTCAGGAAAACCAGGAGTTCCACTTTCCCTCAGGAACACCAGAAACTCCCTTTTCCCTCCAGACATTCCCTTTTCCCTCA